CTTCGACGGCGTATCATCATCGTATCGGATGGTGAAGACACCAGTTCCGAGATTTCTCCTCATGAAGTGTGCCGTTCACTGCAGAAGGGTCGAATCATCGTCGATTCTGTTCAAGTTGGGCCAAAGAGTGATCGCGTTTTGCACGCTATATCCGTGGCTACCGGTAAATATACCTCTATCCAGCAGAGTAATTTCCATTTCTGATGCTTTATGCAGGAGGCTACCGCTTTTCGCCCCGGACGTCGCTCGCGGACGCGTTGAGCATTTTCGTGGGTAGTCCCCCCAGTACTCCTGAATCCGCTAACAATACCAACCCAGGATCTCGAGACGATGTTATATTCCGGCGACCGACCTTACCGTTCCGCGAAACCGCTCGTCAATACTGAAAGGCAATTCCAAGCTTATCAGAATTTCAGCGGCTCCAACGCGATCGACATTGTGACGGTCGACATGTTCCCACCACGAGCTGAACACAAAAAATTGAAACAGCGCGTGAAATCTGCGGCCATTTCGGTTGTACGTCCCGGAGTTGGCGATGAGCGGATGAAGCGGATTATGCGAGAGGTAATTATCCTGGTCGACCCTTCGGTTTTCAGCCTTCCTTGACACATTGCAGATAAAGACCGTGGTCGCGGATCCGCATCCGAATGTCGACGTATATGTTAATGACCGCGACATGTCTTTCTTGAAGATAATTCTGGAGGTGAGCGACTCACCACAAATCTTGGGCAAGCGGTTCTGACACTACCCAAGGCCCCGAAAGATGTGGAGAATTGTCCATACAAGAGCGGGACCTTCCTTTTGACCTGTGATTTGCCGGCGGGCTATCCCCGCGATCCCCCTGAAATTCGATTCGTGACCTTCATCCTGCACCCTAACGTAAGATTACTGCCGCGTGTTCCGACTGGTCTTCGAAGCTGAATCTATCTCAGGTCTCAAAGCAGGGGAAAGTAAGTAGCGTGTCCGGTGGAGAATGGCTGCCTAACCACCACTGTAGGTTTGCATTGCTGAGCTCGGCCGCCTGTGGTCTTCAGATATCACTTTGAAGGAAATATTCAGCATGATCTACGGCATACTACTAACTCCGGATCTTGAGAATCCGCTCGAAATTCAGGCGTCGCTGAAATACTGTCAGTGCACTGTTCTGTTGATGTTTTCGTTGCTGATCTGTCATACAGACGACGATGACGGCACGTACGCTCTCGCCGTCGCAGACGCAGTTGCCAAACATGCATCCAAAACCCGCGCACAGTGGCAGGAAGAGTTGGAGGACTGACCAGAGGTGTCCATAGGTGTACTGAGGACTTGGCGAAAGATCCAATGGACAAGCGTTGTATTCATTCTTGATATTTACATACTACCAAACGAATACTTTCTTGAAGCAATTTTTTCACGTCCCAAGTACTGTTCATGATAAGCGTTCGTTCTCGACTTCGTACGTCCTTATAGTACGTCCTTCTATTCGAAGGACGCGCAATTTTATATGGCGATCAAGCCGGTGCTTAGATAAATTCTTGTGAGGCGGAGATGACTCCAGGGATACGTAAACGCACGTTGGCTGAGTTTGAACACCTGGTGTTTGTTCTTTGTGTCGTGCAGTTCGAGTGTGAGCTGAAAGAAGATTTGTCAGATAAATTGGACCCCGGGCACGCTGTTACTGACGGGGGAGCTTCGGCTGCTTCCCTTGCCTGCCGGCCACGCGGTCATAGCCAGACCAGTGCGTTTTTCGATGAAGCTGTAGGACAATAAACTGAATGAATATGGACGGATTAAGTCTGCATTGTGGCTCACTAGGACTCAACGGATCCTTTTGAAACCGGCATGATGTCCCAAAACGTGCTGACATTCTGGTTCCCGACGATCTGGGCATGTATGGCGGGGCCAGGCGTCTCGTAGTTGTCGCTTGTGTATGAGAGGATCGAGCGCCCGGCGGCGTTGATGACGCGGTACTCGTTCTCGTCGCCGTTCATGGCGTAAATGAACAGCCACTGGGGGCGTTGATAAGTATATAATAACGGTACGAATCGTTGACTTGCATTCTGGCTCTGGTTCGTGCTGGTCGTGAAGCTCTGCACCGGGGTCAGTGGACTGGGACTCCCTCCGGTGAGGTCCACCGAGCTGCCCTGGAAATCCGTGATCTTGAAGGTCAGGATGTCTGCAGCATTGGTGACGGCGAGTAGAGCGAGGAATACGACCGATTTCAGACACATTGCGCGCAAATGTGGGAGCGGGCGGATTGTACTAGCTAGATGGCGCGGGCGGATTATAAGCATTTCGCTTCGCTTCTTTCCAATTACTGGGTTTGGACCTTCTTGTGCTTCCATTGGGAACTGATTACGCAAGTGCACCTGGAGCCGCACCTTCACTTTGTCCGACTCGCCGACCCGGCTCTTTCATTTCCGTTGGCTTATTTCCACTCAGGGCCCCCAACGATTTTACTGCGGGACGAATTCTGCGTACCTTCGAGGTGAGCGGCACTTTAGCGTATTTCCGAGGACCCATCAGATCATTCTCAACCACTCACAGCCGTGCTTGCTAAAATATCCCGAGAAGCGCCATTGGAGTGGAGAAAAGCGACGCGGAACGGTCCTTGCTATCGCCACACGGCAGTGATCGGCGGGTACAGCATTGTACCCATTGAGTCGGGTCAGGTTGGCAGCGGCCTTAAAAAGGGATCATATCAATCGCGGACCCATGCTACAATGTGAACAGACGCCGGTACAATTCCCACAGGATTCTTGTCGTGTTCTCTTCATGTGTTGTGCCACGGTATGGAACTTGCCACACGACCTAGGCGCAACCCTCACTATGGCATCAGTGCATCGCAGCATCTGTCAAGCGTTTCCTGATCCGTGCATTGCTTTCTAATTTAGGACGGGGGGTGAAAATAGCCTCGGCGAACTCGGAATCTGGGTTGATTCCTCAGAAAAAAAATGCACGACGACGTGGTTGCTTCTGGCTCATTCCGTCGAATTTTCGGCTCTACCGTTGCCACCAGTGGCCAGCCGGGATCACACGAATTTTTGGCGTGCGACTGGCCGGTGGTTTTGAGAAACTCTCAGGCGTCTATTCGGACATGCAGTGCCTCCGTTTGTGTGTGTTGAGGCTTCCCGCCAGTTATTGTGTGCTTGACACGCGTTGGCCCTCGTCTCACCTCTACTCTCTTCTTCGAATCCACCTCTGCCAGTGCACCGTCGCCCATGCCTCGCTTAGAGCTGCTCCAGTCCCGGGCCTTCAATCCATACCATTACGTCCCCACAAAATGGATATGTCTCGCATTCGTCACACTCTTCACCATATCGACCGGTGAGCCCGCGCGTCCCCCTCCTTCCACTCGCTCGGAGTACGCCGAAATTTAACCCCGCTATAGTGCTGCATTTCGGGCAGGCCATCCGCTATCGCGTCTGGTGGCTCCTCCCCACCGCCTTTGTCTCCGGGCTTCTCGAAATTCTCGGCTGGAGCACGCGGCTCTGGTCCAGCTTCAGCCCCCTGAAACTGCTCCCATTCGAGATTCAGTGCGTAGGCCTCTTCACTGTACCACGACACCTCTCAAGTCTGGTTTCCCCGTGCGACACCAGAGTTATTGGCACCATCATCGGTGGGTGAAACACCCGAACAACTGACGTTTGATTCACGTCCTTGTCGTTCGCCTTGAACCCCACAGGTCCCACGCCGCTCATCGCCGCTGATTTCATGATCCTGGGGCGCATTATTCATCGTCTCGGGGCGCGGTACAGCCGGCTCTCTCCGAAATGGTGTACGACCCCAAACAAAATCCGCGTTCCATTTTCTGACCTCGCATTCGCAGATTCTATCATCTTCTGCAGCTGCGTAAGCCCTTCCTAGGGATACGACCGTGGAGCTTACACAGAGGCATCTCGCAGGATCTCATCTCGCTCTCCGTGCAAGGGTATGGAGGGACGGCTGCTAGCATAGCGGTGGGACGGCACCAGAGCCCTGACCATGTCTGTTTCCGTTTCCGCAGAGATCCCTCGTTCCGCCGCTGATTTTCTCTTTAATAAATAGGGTGCCCACATCATGCTGGCGGGGATCATCTTCCAGATGGGTCCGTCCATTCTCCGTCCCACCGCGGAGTTGATAACCACGAAACCACGCAGTGACCATCTCGATTTACATCCTCCTCGCGGCGGAGTTCTTCCTGCGCTACTTTACCGACAGCCCGCTGGGAGGGAAGGAAGCGGCCTACCACGCTCTCGGCAACAGCAAGCGCGGGCGCGGACAGCTCGACCGTAACCTGCGCATCATGATCGGTGCACTCGGCTTCAACACCACATGCCTCCTGATCCGGTCAGTTTGCTGCCCCGCTTCAATTTCAACACGCGTGTACTGAATGCGCACGGGGATTGGGGATCGGACAGAGCGATATACCGCACGCTGGAGCTACTCGACGGCTTCGAAGGACGGATCATTTCGACGGAGCGCTACTTCAACATCCTGGACGGGGGCATGATCACGCTCGCGATATTCACGTTGAACGTCGCTCATCCGGGCGTGTTCTTGGCGCCGCAGGACAAGTCGGAGAGTGACGTGGAGCTGAAGCTCAAGGAGGCGGGGCTGCTTTACTACAGACTTTGAATGGTTTTTCTTGTGGGATTGATGGACCCTGGGGGTAATGGTGGGGTGTAAAGTAATTTAGCATTGGATACACGGACAAGTTCGATACGATGATCGAAATCTTGCCGTTCTTGGACTAGTGCGTTGGCTACGAAAACCAATTTCGTTTTCGAATGTTGAGGAGTTTTGCGATTTCCTTTCCTCGTTGACTGCACCGATCAGAGTCCGATGGTTCATAGCATCAACTCCGCTTGCATTCGGACTCATGCAGGTTCCTAGGACTTTCATTGGAATTTTCGACTGAGAATCAAGGCGGAAGTTAGATAGCCGTCGTCAAGCTGTCGTGGATCAAAAATAAAGGGTGCAACAATCCGGGAGAGGCCCGGTGCTCCCCGCTCTCGTCCGAGGGAAAAAACAATAGATAACTGCCCCCGAGAGGGTCGAACTCTCGATCTCACGATTTGAACCTTCACTGCGCTTAGAAGCAACTAAGGATAACAGTCGTGCGCCTTAACCAGCTGGGCCAGGGGGCAGTTGATTCCGATTTAACATCTGGTTTCACGTGCATCGGGGCAAACCAAGTCGGCGGGCACCCAATCATCATCAATGTTCATCAAATGTTCGAGTATCTGGGCGTGGCTCACCGAAAAAGGAAGGATCGACGACAAGATGGGTAATACTACTGAGGTCTCATTGAAGATGCAAAAATGAAATAAGCCAAGCGCTGCAGGAGTTGGGACAAAGCTGGGACGGTGCTGATTCGGCCTCGGGAAACTCTTGCGTTTTACCTTATGTAAGCTCGAATCAACCACGAACAATGGAGACACGTGGCTGTCCCCATCAGGCAACATCAACTTCAAGCAAGAGGTGAGTGATCGGAAGATCCTGTCCTCTGATGTCAAAAGATTCGTGATCTCCGATCATCTCGCACCGATTCGGCCCCGGTCGGCTGCTCGGTGCCACTAGTAGGGAAGAAATTGCGGCCAATTACCCCTCCTAGAGAATGCATACTTAGATTCTCAAGTAGTTGTTGTGTTTTCAATCCACTACATGAATTTATTCTGTAAATACATCCTCGGAAATAGTGTTTGACTGCAAAATACTGGGTTTATCCAGCAATGTCACAACACGCGTACCATCTGCAGCACGAGAAATTTTGAGGAAGCAACGATGACGAGGGGTAGCAGCAGGGGATACTGGCAGACGCTTTTCTCCCCTACTTCAACGGCCAGAATATTAGAACAGTCTCAAGAAATTCGGCTTGATTTTCATCATTTACGGCCGATGAAGAATTTGTTGCCCAAGAAGCTGCATGCGCAGTATTTGCCAATAGTGTATGTGCACTATATACAGTGGTAGGATCACATACTGTCTGCAGAGTTTAACGCGTCGAGGACGGGAAATGAGGGAGCTTTGCGTCGCGCCGTTTGGAGACGCGACGCATCGTGGTGGTGCGGTGATGGCCTGCTGATGGCCAGATGCTGCCGATATTTGTACACACCAAACACTTTCCTTATTCGGGGGGTAGGGTACCCCGTGGGAACGTGGTCAAGATCTTCCGATCACTCACCTCTTGACATCAAGCTTTGACCAGCCCACGCGCACCTTGTTCTCCCGTTCTATTGTTCGCAAAACATATAAATCCCGCTGATCGCCTCCGCACGTTTTTCTGCGTGCCACCGCTCCCGGCAAAAATACGACTTCGTACTACATTCCAATAGATTCCAATCTTCCCCTGCCACTCGACCAATATGTCCGACTCCCATCCTGTTTCTCCCAACAAACGAAGGCGGTCTGAGTCCTCGGATGACGCTGAGCCACCCGCGAAACGCCGCGCAGGATCGTCGGTGAGTTTGCTGGCCCTCCCAGAATCAACTGGACTGTCTGACGCCGCGCAGGGACATTCGTCAGTGGCATTCACTCCTAAAGTGAGTGGCTCCTTCTGCCCACCCTAACAATAGCTAACGTCGCACCTCGTAGACACTGGCTTTCCTTCCATCGGAACTCCTCCACTGCATCTTTGAGATGGTGCTTCTGCCAGACAATTCTCTGCAGCCGAGAGGCACCACGACCCAAGAGGAGCAACGCTCAGCGATTGATCGCGCCTGGCGTGAATCCATGTCAGCCAAGAGCACACTCGTTTCTGTCTGTCGCGGGTGGTATCTTGTGCGTGCCACCTCTACCCTCCCAACCTTCCCGACTGACGTGTTCCCGCTCTGTAGCCCGGGAGTACCTTCCTCTACCGAAACATCACACTCGCCAATCTCCGCCAGGTCGATGCCCTATGGCGGACGTTGAACGCCTGCCCTCAATTCGGCGAGCTGGTTCGAACCATCACCTTCATGTCCACCATCCAGTGCGAGGTATTCTGCGAAGACACTGCACACGAGGACATGGCGCGCATCTTCGAGCTTTGCCCCCGGCTTACGCGCGTGAACGACCTGCCGCCCAACGAGTACGCCAGGCTCCCCAAACCCAAACACCCATACCCCGCGCTCCCCTCGACCGTCACAGCCCTCCATCTCGGCCCGCACCGCATGCCCCGGACCTACATCTACGACACGCTCGCCGAAAGCTGCGGCCGACTCGAAGAGCTCTCCATCGACATTGACGGCCACAAGACGTTCGACTCCCTCGCGCTCTCGTTCCCGCGCCTCCACACGCTGCGCATCACCTGCAACGGCCGCTCCGAATCGGCGCTTGCGATGTGGGACATGCCCGCGCTGATGAACCTCACCTTCCGCGCGAGTCGCCACGCCGCGCGCAATGACAGACTCGTGACCGTGTTCGACGAGTACGAGCGCATCCTCACGCTTCACGGCGCCAACCTGCAGTCGCTCGTCTTCCCCCCGCACTACCACATGGTTATGTGGGACGACGTCGAGCTGCGCGACTACGGGCGCGTCATCGCGAAGTGCCCCATCCTCGAGCACGTCGTCGTTCCGGCCAAATACTACGACCTCGCGCCCGTCGGCGGACACCCGCACCCGGCAGTGAGGTGGGTCGACGTGTGGCGCGATGAGGACATCTACGACGTGATCCTCACCACGGACATGAAACCCCACTTTCCCGCCATTGCGGGCGTGCGCACCATCTACGCCGCGCTCGCGCCCCTCATCATCGACCTCCCGCGCGCCGTCCCACCGAGCGTCCGCGAGGACCAGTGCATCTCCCTACCCGGGCTGGATCTGATCCAGGAGGACCACCACCTCACCTATAGACTGACCGGCACGGGCGACGGGGCGGAGGCGGGGGCGGAGCCGGAGCCAGTGCTCACTTTGGAGCTCAGCGAGCAAGACCACCTGCGACACGAGTACTCCCAGCTGCAATCGCTAGGACACGTCAGTGCACCTGAACCTGAATAGATATATGCTTTTATCTGGCTGCTTTAGATGTGGGTGTACGAGCACCTTATACCCGAGAAAAGAGGGCGATGGTCGGATTGAAATCTGCCCCGCTGTGTATCTAAATTAGTTGTTTCCCTAACACAAGGAGGATAATCAGATAACCCAGGCCAAAATCTGGAAAAGATATTGGAAAAGTATTTACAATAACTTTCGCATATCTTGGCCTTGGAATTATTCAAAAGATGCTGAAGGCATTCAAAAGATATTCTTAGATTAGAATATCTTTGCAGTGTCTTTTGAATGCTTTCTCTACCCTTGGCCCACAAATATGCAGAAGTTATTGTAAGTACTTTCTGCATATCTTTTCAGTATTCCAGCTCGGATTATTTGGTTATCCTTCCTGTGTAAGGATCGACCGACAGCGGAAAATAGCAGTGGTTAGCAGGCAGGGGATCCATGGGCCGCCAGTGACATACGCCAGGGAAAATCCTGTCGAACACGAGCGAAATGGCGGACATCATGAAAAGGAACCGGATGGCGCGGAGCGATCGGACTCAGTGTATGAGTGTTTGCAGGGTTTCGACGCGTCCCTCAGAGGGCGTCGTGAAACTAGAAGGACTTGGAAGGTTAGTGGGAGAGGGCACCACCCATCCAACAATCGCTTGAAACGCGGCAAGTATATACATGGATTAAACTGTGCATATATTCACACACACTGTTCCGATACCAGTGCTCGAACAGAAATCTAGCCAAGTCTCAGCTTAAAAGAGGGAGCACGTAGGAAATAAACCACGTACAAGACTAGACTTGAAGCAGCTCATACCACGGATCCCACTCGTTCGAGCGGAAATCTAGCCAAGGTTCAGCGCAACGCAGGGAACATGCGCGGCATAAAATACGTACTCCAGCGCACCGAGATCTGCGGGTCCAGCGAGGGGAAGTACTGCTCAGCCCGCTGGGTCACCGCCGGGGTCGGCACAACGACATTGATATATATTGTCGTGAGGCTGGAGAACTGGCCTATAAGGGCGAATAGGGTGCGGTCTAACTGGGAACACAGCGAGGAGAGGACCTGGGCTGGGTCGAGCCATCCGCTGATAACGAGAACGAGACGAAGGGTGCGGAGGTGGACCCGGCCCGCAGGACGAATGGTAGACAGGGCGCGGAGCGGCGAGAGCGGATCCCAAAGGGGCATCCGGAACTGAAGGACGGCGAGGCGGGTGAATGCTGAGAGGTCGCTGCGTTTCGACTGGACGGATATTAAGTTTAAAACGAGAGAGGAGAGTGAGTAGCACGTACGGTCACGTCAAAGACCTCGACCGTTTTGACCACCGGCGCGAGGATTCCGTGCTGGAGGATTTCGGTGCCAGCGCCAAGAAGGGCCCTGAGCCGGGTAAAATTGAACGGGCAGTGGGGATCTTCGAGCCACCAGAGGATGTCTTCAATTTCATTCGCTTGGAAGGAGGCCAATACGATGTGGCGCTGCGCTGCGGGTCCTGGCCCACCCGACGGCGCAGCCCGGTCGTCCTCGATTCGACAGGATAACGCAAGATCCGTGATATTGCTGGAGCAGTTCGCCCACATGCCGAGGAAGTGTTTTCTGTCTGTGAATCTGCAAGCAAAATGCAAAGACCGGAGGGTAGGCAGCGCAAGCATCCGCTGTATCGCAACAGACACCTCCGAATCGGGAGCGAGGCGGTCTAGATGCCAGATTTTAAGCGAAGACAGGCGGATGAAGGGAAAGCTGCAGATCCGCACAAAATGGTCCGGGGAGGGCATCGCTCTGTTACTCATGTGAAGCGTTGATATGTACCGGATGAGGTGCTGGGAACCATCCATGAGGCTCAACAGGCCAGAGACGCGAATATGAAGGGATTCGAGCGAGGTTCGTGGATCTTCCAATTTTATTTCACTGAAGATGCGAGCCTGAGCGGGATGGACCCAGGAGCGGTTGACGAGGGAGCATGCGCGCAGAGCGGGATTGGAGGCGTCGAGGAAGTCGATACAGCGATCCAGGAGCTCCTGGATATAGAGCGGGTTCATCGCCCAACCTCAACTGTCGTCAGACTGGGGGTATTTAAACATCGACGTGGGTACTAACCAGTGGTAGTGAAGGTTGTTTCTGTGAGAAGAGCACAGCGAAGACTTTGACTTGATCAAGTCTGATGCAATCAATCCTAATGGGG